TGAATTTTAAAATGTTCCTGGTACATTTTTATCTCAGATGTTCTAGCTGTCAGTCTGTTGTGTATCTGAAAAAAAGTCTTGCTGTGTAGTCCAGGATGACCTTGAACTTGCTATGTAGCTCACATTGACTTTGAATTTGTGGTGATCTTTCTGTCTCAGCCTCCCAAGTGCCAGGATTACAGGCCGTGTGCCACCACACCTGGCTCTGAGGTTACATTTTAATTAGAGCTGGCTGAATAACAGATTATTAGCTAAATTTGAATAGTAAGTTATCTTAGTAATATTAAAAAGTAGAAAGAAAAAGATGTTACCTTTTAAGTAGGGCCAACACCACTTTTAGACTTTATATTACTTCAAATGATGGATTATCTTAGTACAAGCAGCAGACAATAAAAGAGCAAGTTAACTTTGTAATTGTAGTTTAAGAATTACCCCAAAGCTCCTTAGGAGAAGTATTTTTAGGAAGGTTTATTTTCTGCTCTGGCATTGATACTTTGTTGTATCCTAGTTCTCTTTTTCTCTTCTGTAGTCACTTGGCATGAGCTTGGAGTTTAGTCTCTGTTGTTGCTGTGAGGAGAGGGCATCTGGTGGCCACTGTAATCTTCTATGGATCAGTTTTTGAAAAAATCATTTGTTTACTAACAGTATTTCCCCAGATCTTCAGGATCGAGGGCTCTGGGGGAAACTGGAGAAGTCACCCATCAGGGAGAAGATTGAAGCAAAGTGGTTGAGGCAGCTGCTTTTTCAGCAAAGGGAGTTTTGTCCCATAGTTCCCCATGTCCCAGGTTGATTATTATAAATACAGACTTACAAGCACACAGGAGACATTTAAGGTAATTACCTACAGTGTATTTTTATGTTTTGGCTAAGTTGGACTATAATAATACTTTTAGTTTAGTTTTAAGTAGACCAGTCAGTTAAAATTCTCCCTAGGCTATACCATACTATAGTACTTTTTTTTCTTGTAAGATAGGGTCCTTCTATATATTCAGACTGGCCTTGAACTCACTATGAGCCCTGCTTGGCTTTGAACTCAAGGCAATCCTCCTGTCTCAGGCCCCTGAGTGCTGGGATTACAGGTGTGCGCTATCATACTTGGCTGGATACCATAGAATTTTAAAAGTGTAGAATTATACCAGTAAGAGTTAGAAATGGGGATCAGAGTACGCAGGTGGGGAGAGACTAAAGGGAAGTTATATGTAGAGGAGAGACTAGAGACCTGAGGGTGGCTGAAACCCAGGTATTTTGCTTAATTTGGAAAAGGTCAAAGAGGGATAAGGGAACATGAATCTTAGTTACTTTCCAGATTGCTAAGAAAAAATATCTAGGACCCACCCAACCCCCAAGTTAAAGGAAAGGTTTATTGCAGCTCGTAGCTCATAGAGGTTTCAGTCCATCATCAACTGACTCCAAGGCACAATAGTATGGCAGAGGAATATTGTAGAGGAGAAACAGTCCATGGCAGGACAGGCAGGAGACAGCAGAACACCTAGGATGGGTGTTCCATTAGACATACCCAGAACCGTGATAACCAATTAGCAGACTAATCCTTACCATGCACGCTTAATCCCACTCTCATACCTTCAGTCCACATTCCCACACTGTAGATCTAGCCATCTCCATAAAACCCCAACTGTGAGCACATGAGGCTTTGAGGGGACATCTAGGTACAAGCCATAACGGTGGATAATATTTTTTAAACAACCCTCCACCCTCCTTTGAGGGTCCAGCAGAGATAGCTAAGATTTTGGTTTAGGAGGGAGCTGGTTGGAGAGGAAGGGGAGGTTGAGGGGCATGTGGCTTTGGGATTTGTGGTTGATGGGACTGAAATTAAGTTTAAGGATAGAATTAGCCAGGTCTGGGTTGATGGTGAAGTGAAGGAGAATTTGGAAAGCAGTATATTGGCAGTTGACTGCAAAGATAAAAGAAAGCCTGCCCCTGAGAAACTTTGGGTCATATGCCATTTCCTGGGCATGTACTTATATTTCAGTGCCATCTACATTTTAGTTTAGGCTCGATCCAATTAATTAGTACATCTATGAAAATGTTGAAGTTTTTCTAAGAGTTTATTTTTTATGGTGGTGCTAGGGATTGAATTCAGAGCTTCTGTGTGGTACATACTTGTGAATGTTCTTGAAGAACACAGTTCAGCTTGGTATAGTAGTGTATGAATGAGGCAGGAGGATCTCTTGAGCCCAGCTTGGGTAACTTAGCCCTGTTTCAAAAGGGAGGGGACTGAGGTTGTAGCTTAGTGATACAACTTGCCTAGCATGTGACTTCAGTCCTTAGCATTTCTTTTTTTCTTTTTTTTGGTGGGGGGTAGAAATAATACATACGTTCAGAGAAAAAAATAAACAGTAAGAAATCACTAGTTGATGTTTATATACTGTCCTTTTACAAATAGTTGTTCAAGATACAAAAGTGGAACATATAAAGTGGGAACATATAAACAGTGATACTGCAACAGTTCTGTTTAATATCCAACAAAAACTTAATAATATGGTTGTCAATCCTATATACTTAAACATACAGGCAGTTATCCATATCTTCATTTAGGTTGAGATTAAACAAACTAAAGCAGGCTAAAATCATTCTGAACAAAGAATAATAGTATTGCTGGATTTCATATCATGACACTCCGGGTACTGTAGTGTCTTTTTTTTTTTAATTTAAAGACAGACTAAACAAAGCAGAAAACGGATAGAAATAATACATACTTTCAAAGAAAAAATAAAACAGTAAGACTAGTTGATTACAGATTGTCCTCTTACAAATACTCAAGATACTAAAGTGGAGCATATAAAGTGGGGATTCAAATAGTGAGACTGCAACTAGTTCTGTTCAGCTATCCAACAAAAACTTAGAAATATGGTTATCAATCCTATACACTTAAACATACATGCTATGTTGCGATTGAACAAACCCAAGCAGGCTAATATCACTCTGAACAAAGAATAATATTGTTGCTGGGTTTCACATTATGACACTGCAGGATCAGCACTGGGTACTTTAGTGTCTCTTTTTCTTCAAAGTATCTGTTCATTTCATCATGTGTCATAAGATCAGTTCTCATAAACTGTTTATAGATTCTACACATGCATGAGTCTTAACATGTATTTCTATCCTTTCTATATTAGAGGGAGAAACAAAACAAAGCAAGACCAAACAAAACATATTCCTATAAACACATGAAACTAAAAAGACATATAAGACCGTTGTACAAGGAGTTTTATCATAGTTCTTGTGTTGTCTCTTGTTATCTTCAATAAAATTGGCTATATCATCAGACATAGTGTAATTGAATATATCAGTGTATAACAGTATTAATAAAAACACAACTTTGTATATATTTTCTTTTCTTTTTTAATATTGTTAAAGGCTTAATGAGAATTCCTAGTCTATTAGCAGAGAAATAAAGATGATAGATAAGTGGAGATTTTCAGTGGTCGTGAGCAAATGTCCACTGAGGAACGTTGGGTGTCCACCAGAGTTGCCCTGGCCAGGAGCCCTCAGTTGTTCTTAGTTTCTGTTGGTCCAAAAGACCAAAAGTTAGTCTCCAGAAAGAAATATAGCTGTCTTGTCTGCTCAACATTCCATTGACTCCACTGGCCACTGACTTCAATGGGGATTCACCAAACAGATGCTGGGGAAACCTGTCCTCTGCTTTTAAGATTGGCAGCTGCTATAAGAGTGATTGATTAACTGGCAGAGTAACTATTGTTCATCTAAGTTCTATAAGGGATAGTTAAAAGCCCAAAAAAGATCATTACCTAGGGCTCTGTGAATTTACAATAAAGGTTTTGAAGTCTACAACTTGAAGGTTTGGAGAGCCTCCTTATTCTAAACGTGTTTAGGTCCCATATGTGTGCTGCTTTTAGAGCAGCTTCTTCCATTGCCACATGCAAGCCGGTTCTCCCCACAGTGTCGCAAGTTCCATCTCTTTTAAGAGAGATGTGGCCCAGAACATTAAACTGGACATGGCTTTCATATATGTTCTCTTGGATGGGCACAATTCCGATGTCTCATAATTCCTAGATTTTATACCAGAAAAGTTTAAAGTGGCTGTTGATGCTGAGTGTTGTGATATACACCTGCACTGTGGGAGTCAAGAGGATTGCAAGTTTGAGCCCAACCTTGACAACTTAAATTTAACTTAACAAGATCCTGTCTCAAAGTAAAAAAAGGGCTTGGGGATGTAGCTGAGTACAAAGACCCTTGGTTCAATCCTCAGTACCACCAAAAAACCCAAAAACCAAACAAAAACAACAAAAAAATCCCATTTAAACAGAAAAAGTCATCTGAAAATTGGTTAGATATGTAAATTCTTGTGTCACCCCAGGGTCACACCACTATTCAGTAACATAACAGGCCAGGTGCCCACTGGAATATATGAGACGTTGAAGGCAGTGGACATGGGCTGATTGAGAATGAACTAATTTACTTATGAACTGAAATAGATGACTGTTCATGTAAAAAACAATTGATAAAGGAGTACATTCCTTTTTTATTAATGTGTTTCTGTTTTAATCATATGGTAGTTGTACATATTTGTGGAGTGCAGTGTAACATTTCAGTCCTATATACAATGTGTAATGATCAGATAAGGATAACTGCCATATCTGTAACCTCAGACAGAAATCATTCTTTTGTACTATTTTTTAGTAAAAACTTTGCTCCTGGCCAGGCGTGGTGGGGCACACCTGTAATCCCAGCACTCAAGAATCTAAGGCAGGAGGATCGTTGAGTTTATGAGTCCAGTCTGAGCTACAAAGTGAGCTCTGGTTCAGCTTGAACTGCATAGTGAGTCCCTGTCTCAAAAAAGGGAAAAAAAATTTCTTGCTATTCTTAAAATAACTCTTTGAGATTACCTTAGGTGTTTGCTGTTCATCCCAGTCTTTGGTTTGTGTTTCAGTAAGTTTTTGGTGTTCTCAAGTTTTATTGAAAAAAGATCATTTAAAATGGACAATAAATCCAAATTCTCCATTTTTTTTTCCTCTTAGGCATGAGTCTTACAAAACTCAGTACAGAGCAATGTTTGTGATGAACTGTTCCATCAACAGAGAGGAGGTACTAAGATACAAAAACCCAGACAACAGAAAGAAGAGACGAGGCTACAAGAAGCTGCGATCTAACCAGGAAGATCCGAAGAAGCAGACCGAAGCTGAAGAAATCTACCACCCTGTGATGTGTGCAGAGTGTTCCACTGAAGTGGCTGTCTACGACAAGGACGAAGTCTTTCACTTTTTCAACGTTTTAGCAAGCCATTCTTAAATAGTGCAGTTGGCATTTCATTGTGCAATACTGTGTAAAGGAAACTGTATGGACCAGTTATTTTCCTTCCTCCAGTTCATATTATTAAGTGATTTTGAGCTATTACTTGAGGAAGCAATATTTTGTCTGTATGCAAAAGAATAGTTATCAGTCTTCATCTCCCTTTTTTATTTAGCTTTATGATGCATACTGATGGGACTGATTATTCATTTCCTTTATGATGGACATTTGAAAATAATGGAGCTTTTTATTTATTAAAGCTCTTATAGAATTAAAATGTTGTAGAGTTCTGTTTTTGTTTCTGAGTGTCTTAGTTGATTTTCTGTTATTGTAACAAAATATCTGATTGAGATATATTTTCTTTTTATTTGTAGCTTTTACTGTACCTGTATATGTTAGGGTCTGAAGATCTCAGAGACAAACCCAGCCCTAGACAGTTTACAAGCACTTTAAATTTTGGTATCTGCATTGCTTTGTACATCTAAAGTTTCCCATAATAGTTACAAAGTGAAAAACAACAAAATAAAATACAAAATATCTCAGGTTGGTGCTTTATAATGAAAGGTTTGGTTAGGTCAATGTTTTTGAGGTTGAAATTCAGTTTGGGTGACCCCATCTGTATGTGGCTTCTGTGAGGGTCCACTCAGGGGCCAGGAGCCAGTGATGGGTACAGCAGTCAGGCTCACTGTTGCTTATTTTTAAATTTTTAAATTTTATTTAAGTGAGAAATGCTTTGCTTAAAGTGTGCTTTAGTCTGAAGGAAAATGTTTCTGTCTTTTCTAAGTCCCCTAAATCAAATCAGCCAAGAGATAGTAAAAATCTGCCACATTAGCGAGAATTATTGAAATTGCTTGATTATCTGAACATTGATAAACTGCTGCCATCTTTTCTTGACCCCTAACAAGATTAAAAAGCAATTTATCCATTTAGCATCTTAATCAATTTTCTGTTGCAATAACAAAATAATTGAGACCAGGTGATTTATAAAGTTTATGTATATTTATTTGGCTCATAGTACTGAGGCTGGGAGGTCTAAAATGGTTAAAGGATGAGGAACTAAGGAAAGGTGCAAAAACAGTTTATGTTGATGTACACGGAAACATGTGCCGTATAAACGCAGTGTTTTAGTTAACTTCCACATTGCTTGGACACAATACCCACAATTTAAAGGAGGACAGGTTTAATTTAAACTAATGCTTATCTCTCTGCTACCACCTCAACAACCCCCATATAATCACTGCTTCCAGCTCTGTTTACCTGCAACTTGGAAAAGCCCAGAAGGCAAATTGGCAGGAAGGAAGTTTTTCCTTATGGAATATGAAGAAGTCCCTTTAAGGTGTACTGAGTCCTGATCTCTGTAGAGAGTCACTGCTGTGCTTCAGGGTTTTCATTTTACAGGTGGGAAAAGTGGGCCTCAAAGAGACAGCTTTGAGCTATGTTTGCATGGCAGAGTCTCAGTTAAAACATAATTTCCTAACTTCTTTCCATTCCATCTTAGAATAGTGAGATAGAATAATGAGATAGCCCTGAGTTTTCTAGTGTTATTTTTGGAAATAGTCCATATATCTTCATTCTTCAAAAAAAGGGAAAATACAGATGCCAACAATGCAGGTTCCCCTCAAGCTGCCACTGGTGATTTTATTTTTGGTTCCAGTAATTGAACTCATACCATATATATATGGTATATCACACCGTATATATAATGTTTGAAAAGTTTCAAAAGCAGTTTTGCCCTGCCCTTGCCTGTTATATTGGTACATTGAATATATTATGTATTTATGTTATGTGTGTTACATACATTAGGTGCGTATACTAGGCACTCTATATCATACTGTATGTACAGTATACATATATGTGTTATGTGAGTACAATATATACACTAAATTATGGACATTTTGCATTATGTGTGTTCATTATGCATATTATGTACACACAGTATACATTACATATTTACATTGTGCATGTACATTGTGCACATTTATATGTACATTATGTATGTATGTACATTACAGTATTCAGATGAAAGAGTCAAAGGAAACTCTTGATGACTTTGCTTTTATTTGCGTAACTTCTGCACACAGACCTCTAAAGTATAACAGAAATGAAACTATAGTACTGTACAGTATAGTAAAAATCACAGTACTTGGCTGGGGATGAGCACAAAGTTGTGAGTTTGATTCCCAGTACTAAAAAAAAAACAAAAAACAAAAAACACAGTAGAAACCAATCTAAAGGCCTCTCTACTGTCTGTGTTCCTCGTAAGTCCAAGCAGTGGGACAAAAGTACAATTATTAAATAGGTTGTTGAATGAGAAGTATTACTCTCTTAAACCTTCTAATTTATTATTTTACTTTGTTTTGGTACAGGAGATTGAACCCAGACACTTCACACTGAGCTACATTTCCAGCCTTTTAAAAATTATTTTAAAAATTTTTAAAAAAATTATTTAAAAAAATTTTTGGGACAGCACTTGATTGCCCAGCTTGGTTCAACTTGTGATCCTCCTGCCTCAGCACCCCAGAGTGTTGCCATTATAGGCATATAGCACCATGCTTGACTAGATCTTATTATTTTTAATTTTTATCAAGTTATTACATGAACAGCATTAAAATAGTACTAAAAAAGCAAAACCAAAAGCAACCAAATTAACCCCCAGCATTTCCCTACCCTAACTATTACCCAGCTGTTCAGAGGCATCAACTTCCAATTTTTTTCTTTTTTCTTTTTTCTGATATTCTTGTCCTCTAAATAATATGCTTACATATGGATTCCTGATCCATCAGTTTTATATACTATTGTTTACTTTCTGTTACGGTCAATAAGAACCTAGAGCTCTCTTGTACCCTGCCTTCCTCTATGAATTCAACACAAGATTTCTTATTTATTTTAATTTAAATTTCTTTTTTTAATGGGCATTAAGTGGCTGGGCAGGGTGGCACGTGCCTGTAATCCCAGCACTGAGGAGGCTGAGGCAGGAGGATTACTGTGAGTTTGAGGCCAGCCTGAGTTACAAAGTGAGTTCAAGGCCATCCTGAACTGTACAGTGAAACCCTCTTCCAAAAAAAAAAAAAAAAAAAAGATAGTAAGTGATAATTATAGTTAACTGAAGAATGTTAAGGTGATTACATTCCTTTCTCGTACATTATCTGTTTCTGGAGTTGAAAATTGCATTCACTCATTTGCTTAATTTTCTTGAACTTCTAAGTCTTACGTAAGCTGATGAATTTATTTAGTTGCACTTGTCAAGTCATGTTCCCTGTGTTTCTACTGGAATCCTCAGGCATACTCTAGTGTCTCTCTCTCTCTCTCTTATATACTTGCCATTCTAGGTCTTCCCTTTAACATAATATTGGAAATTCTGTTTGCCTCTCTTCTATGTTGCAATGTAGTTTCTAGATTGCTTGTTTTACCTCATTTTTGGCTTAAGCTTTCTCCTCATTCCCTCCCTCCCTTACCTTATTTATTTATTTCATTTCTTTTTGCTGTAGCATCCTCTAATAACAGGAAAGATTATATAGGAACTTACATGTAAAGACAATTTTGCTCTTCAGTGATTGGATAATTTGCCTAGTTAAGAATCATGGATGTGCTCAGAGGCACAAGCACCTGTGTGGCATGTGTGAGGTCGTGAGTTCGATTCCTGGTTCAAAAAAAGAAAAAAAGAATTCTGGTTGAGTGCTAAGTGTGGTGGGGCTCCCCTATAATCCCAGCATTTGGGAAGCTGACACATGAGGGTGGGGGCCGGCCTGGGCTGCATAGTAAGTTGAAGGCCACCCTGAATTACAGTGAGACTGTCTCATAGAACAAAACAACAACAGAGAATTACAAGTAAGTAATTGGTATTGAGTTTTTTGTTTTTTGAGTACTAGGGATACAACTCATGACTTCGTGCTTGCAGGCAGGTGCTTATGCCTCTTGAGAGCTAGTCCCTGGCCCTGGTATTGAGTTTTTTAATTTCCTTTTTTTTTTTTGGTATGGTGAATCAAACTCATGACTCACACTTGCCAGACAGGTGCTTACGTCGCTGAGCTAAAACCTGGGCCTATTTATTTATTCACTTTGTTTTTTTGAGACAAGATTTCACTATGTAGTTCAAACTGTCCTTGAACTCACTTTGCAACTCAGGCTGGCCTCAAACACAGTGATCTTCCATCTTCAACCTCCCAAGTGCTGAGATTACAGAGATATGTACCACTATGACCAGTTTATTCATTTATTTTTAATTATACACATTTATGGCACACAGCATGATAATTCAATACAGGGATACATTGTATAATGATCAAACCACTGTAACTAGCACTTGCATTTCCTTAAATATTTATCATTGTGTTGGGAACCTTTGAACCAAGTCCTTTTCTTCTTTCTGGAAATGTGACGTGTTTCCAGGTTGGTGGAATTATTAAGTTATCAGGCCATAATTTCTTTTTTTGTTGTTTGTCATCCTTTATTTATTCCTTCCTTTTTTATTTTTAAATTTTTTGTGGTACTAGGGTGGCCCCAGGACTTTTGCACTGAGTTACACCTGAACCCTTTTTACTTTTATTTTTTGCTTTGAGATAGGGTCTTGTTAAGTCACTTGAAATCCTGCCTCAGCCTCCTAGAGTGCTGGGATTACAGGCATGGGACACCACTCCTAACTAGCTTCTTTTTGTTTATTTGCTGTTAATTGACAATTGAGAATTGTACATACTTGTAGCATACAACATGATATGTACATGTATACATACAAACATTGTGGCTAAGTCAAACTAATATATTCATTACTATGTATTTTTTCTAATTGCTGAGGATCTACTGAGGGTCCCACATGAGAAGTAAGTATTCTACCATAGAGCTGCACTCCCAGCTCTATACTTTACTAGTTTGTATGTGTGTGTTTGATGAGTAAACTTCACTGTCCTAACAGTTTTCTAGTATGCAATACATTGTTTGGAAATACAGCCACTATGTTGTACTTTTTTTTGTGATACTGAGGATTGAACCCAGGGCCTTAAGATTGAGCTGTATCCCTAACTCTCTATTTATACTTTTATTTAAAAAATATATGTATATATTTTGAGGCAGGTTTTTGCTAAATTGCCCGGGCTGTGCTCAAACTTGTGATCCTCCTTCCTCAGCTTCCTAGAGTGTTGGCCTGACAATTTCATGCCTGCAAGTCTGGCTTGAATCATACTTCCCATGCAAAATTTGAAAAAAAAATAATGAATAAATGTATATTATAAAAGATGCACACATAATTTATGAAGTCATAATAAGGCCATGTCAGATAATCCAGCTCTTGTAATTTAGAAAATTATAAAGTTTCATAATTATAAAATTACATTGAACCAGGCATAGTGGCACACACCTGTAATCCCAGCATTTGGAAGGCCGAGGCAGGATTGCTGTGAGTTTGAGGCCAGTCTGGGCTACAAAGTGAGTTCAAGGTCAGCTTGAATTGCATAGTGAAACCCTGTCTCAAGAAGACAAAATAAAATGATATTGAGATAATTTATAAAATTATTAGATAAAATTTAATGTGATGTAATGATATGGGGCAGCTGCTCCTGAGTCCATGGCCTGTGTTACTGACATTCCAGATAGGACTGATAGTTAGCAGTTGGAAGGTCATCTAAAATCTGTGACAGCAAACACTAATTTGCTTTAATGAGCAGATGTGCCTTGTAGACAAATACTTGGGAACCACTTTTGCCTTAAGTTTGGGATAAGCGCTCCTAGGATCTTAAATGGGTTCAATTTGGTATAATTTTCAGGGTCATGGAAGGGGAGCTATTTTACAGTCAGTGGCCAATTTAGGAACATTCAGGCTATGAAGTCTCACAGATGTGACAGGCCTCGCATCATGAACATTCTTAGATGGGAACATGTCGCAGAAGTGGCTCAGGTGTCGGCCAGACATTGTTGCAGTTGTGCTGCTGTGTGCTCACGGCGAGGTGTGTAGTACAGAGCTTAGTCAGAGCCCAGGATGTCTGGAAAAGCAGTGGCGATGTGGACGGACTGCCAGGAAGCCAGAGCAATAACCATGGAAACACAAGTGATGATAAGATAACTCCCTTCTTGTCATCCATGCCAGTTTATACTGTACTGTACTGTACCACCATTTTAAGGTAACTAAAAGTAAAAATAGTTATTTACATTATCTGTGTGTATGTGTTTGGGTCTTTTTAATGCTTTACATTGAGTATTTGTGTCAGTGTATAAGATTCACTTTGTCAGACTTATGAACAAATCTGACTTACAAACGTTCTCCCTGAACAGAACTCATTTGTAAGTCAGGGACTTACTTACATTGTCAAATGATTATTTTGTAGAATTCTGTCTCATAGGTGAATTGCCAGTTACTTCGAATATCTTCCTAAAACAGCCAAGTCTCTGACATAAGGATTTTAGATTTTAATCTGGTACCCTGAATCTGATGGTCACCTGTTAAAATGATTTACTTTTCACAGCAAGATTTACAGTGAATTATTTTATGTACTATGTTTGCATCTCCAGGGGCTGCTATGAAAGCTACAAAGAATGACAAGAGGCATGGTCTGATACTTGTTTGCAACATAAAGGAAACAAAACATACTTAGAAATGCCAGTGAATTAGAGGAAGCAGGAGCTGTTACGGGAAAGTAGTTTAAATGAGGTCTCTCATTTAGATCATTTGCTGAAGAGAGAGGTAGCTTTAATGTAGGGCATCTGAAAGGCATTCCTGGCCTGGTTCTTGGCTCCACCTCCCTGCTAATGAAGGCCCTCACTATCTGCACTGCTGGTTCTCCACCCACCTCTTCTTCCAGCAGGTGCAGTGTCTCAGCTGCCTCGACTTTTTCAGCTTCTGCAGCCTCCTCAGTTTTCATGTGCCTTCGCCTTTATCAGCTTTCTCTTCAGTGGGGCTGGGTATTTGGTTAAAACCTTGCCATTTATTTCTAATGGGAGGAAGGCAGGATCCTACTACCCTGCTAGTCCCAGGCTATGTGGGGTTGCTGGTGGGGGAAGTTATGCTTTCAGCTGGAGGCTGATGATCAGCAAAGCTTTTTTAGGTGAGGTCTTACCATATAGTTCAGATTGGCCTTGAACTCACTGTGTAGCTCAGGCTGGTCTCAAACTCATGATGATCCTCCTGCCTCAGCCTCCCAAATGGTGGGATTATTATAGAAAACTAAGCCTGACAGAAATATTAGTAAAAACAAACAAAAAAACAATAGAAATATTATAGAGAATCAGTCAGAGCTAGGCCCTTGAGTGAGTCAGTACAGAAGATGAGAACACATTATAACTGTGGCTGGAGGTGCATCTGCTGAAGGCCGGAGTGCAAGATAAAATGGAATGGTCAGGCCTATATGCCTTCTGAGGGATAAATAATAAATAGATGATTATACTATAATTGGTATCATCTAGTGCAATAAAGTCTAGACATCAGTCACTCACCTGAGTGACCAGGACCTCCTGATCCACCCCTTGCTGAAAAGGTCCTTGTTCTTTCCAAGTACACTTGCTATGTGGTCTGCTCCCCCATTGGATAAATCATACCTAAGCCACTTACACTTGCAGTCTTATTGGTTGATCAGTTTTGACCCACATTGTAGACCCTTGTGATTTTGCTCTATAAAACTTGCTTTGGAAAGTGTGCTCACTGGGAACCCAATTTTGGGTCCTTTCCTGTCTGTCAGGAGCTCTTTCTCAATAAACATTTCCAATCTTAACCTCCATTGTTTCTTCAAATCCGTTCTTTGATTTTGGGAAACACAAACTTGACATATCTGACCTCTAACAGGTTGGGAGTTACAGTATTTTCCCTATATCTGGATTATAGGCATGCACCACCATGGCTGGCCAGCAAAGTCTTTGTAAGGTGAGAAAATGCTTTTCACTGCCAACTGCTCATTTCTTAGGAAGCCGCCTAGAGAGGATAGACACCTACACATATGTTGACCAACACTGGGGAACTCAGACTACCAGTTCATTCTCAACCACTCCTTGATATTATCCAGGAGTTGATACCCTGGGAATAACCTGATACAAAAGAAAACAGGAGTACACATCTTTCTCAACTTGTAACAGGGCCAACCAGGGCTCAATAAATCTGTCCCAAGTTTAGAATATCATTAAAAGTGCATTTAGCTAGGCATGGTGACATCCTCATAATTCCAGCATTCTGGGAGGCTGTACAGGATGATCACGCCCAGTTCTGATGTAGAACAGGGGTTGGTAGATGAGAAAATAAAATAGAGACCTTCTTAGGTCTCCTAGTTAATCCTTACTAGAGGAAGTTAAAAATAAACTTGCCTAGAGAGATTCCCCTGGGAAGCAAGTCAAAGCCAGAGGTAGAAAAATACAACAAAAACTGATAAAGAAAGGTATCAAGTGGTTATGGGATTTGCACCAAGAGACCACCAGAAGAAATGATGTTAGACAGAGGTGCGCAGAAGCCAACCCAGTTATGGAAGTTCTGAGTGGGAGGGAAAGGAGTCCTGCACACCCCACTATAAAAACAGCTGGGAACAAAGGGCCTGTGGATCCTCCATCTTTCCAGAGCTGCCTGTCCCGATTCTTTCTTAGCAAGGTGCTTTTCCTCTTTACAAATAAAGTGTTTTCCTTTTGTTAAACTTTGTCCCTCTAATTTTATTTATTTAGGTTTTTGGGTACTTTTTAGGTTTACATAGTGAGCATATTCACTATAGGGAATTTCTAGCTATACATCATGATATAACTTGATTCTGTTTTTCCTCATTCCCCTCCCCTCCCTTCAACACCTCTTTCTCTCATTTACAAAAGCTTTGTTTTCAATTTTTCCTTTTCTTATTTTTTTTCTTTTCCCTTCCTTTCCCTATCCCCCCTCCCTAGTTCTTCTTCCTATTTGAACATTTTCTTCCTATTTCACAATGTCTATTGTACATTTTGGTCTTTATGCACTTTTGGTTTCTCATACCAGAGAAACTGGTTTTTTTCTTTCTTTCTTTCTTTCTTTCTTTCTTTCTTTCTCTCTCTCTCTCTCTCTCTCTCTCTCTTTTTCTCTTTCTTTCTTTCTTTCCTTCCTTCCTTCCTTCCTTCCTTCCTTCCTTCTTTCCTTCCTTTCTTTTTTAACCAGAAATCACATTCAGGACTTTGTGCTTGCCAGGCAGGTGCGGTGCTGCTGAGGTATATCTCAGCCCTTGCTTTTCTTTCTTTTTCTTTTTTCTTTTCTTTTTTTTTTTTTTTCTTGAGATAGAGTCTCACTAAGCAGTTTGGACTGATCTTGAACTCACTTTATAACCCAGGCTGACCTTGAACTCTCAGCAGTCCTGCTGCTTCAGCCTCCTGAATGCTGGGATTACAGCATGGACTGCGATGTCTGGCACTACCATGCAGTGTTTATACATGTGTCCGACTTACTTTAAGAGTATGGTATCAGGGTCATCTGTTTAGCCAGAAATATCTTGTTTATCCTTCTTCATAGCAGAGCAGTACTGCATTGCATAAAAAACACCACATCTTATTTATCCATTCATTGGCTGATGGGCATTTGGGCTGTTTCCATAATTTGATTATTATCAACTGTGCTGCTATAAACATGGGTATGAGTACATCACTGTGTTATAATACTTTTAATTCATTCAGGAAGATACTGTACCAGGAAGAGGAATAGCTGGGTTGTGTGGGATCTTTAGTACTAGTTTTTTGAGGAACCTCCACACTGATTTCCACAATGGTTGTGTCAGTCTACATTTCCACCAACAATAGAGAAGGGCTCGTTTTTCCCCAAACGCCAGCCAGCATTTGTTACTGACTGATTTCTTGATAATAGCCATTCTTTCCAATGTGCCTCTAACTTATTACTGGGCCTGAGCTGTGATTCGGGTGGGCTTCTTGGACAACACAGCAGTGCTTGTCTCCCAGATGGGACACCGGAAACAGAGCGAGGAGGAACACAGACAATACAGCCATCTTCAGTTCAGGGTCCTCTTCCTTGTGGAAACGAAACTGGGCTCCAGGCCTACTTCTGTGAGCATCTTCTGTGTATTTATCTGAACTGAGGAGAAGCAAGCGTTTTGGTTATCAGCTCCAAGGGAAGGAGTATAATTTATAAGTGAAAAGCACAGGTATAGAACCCAATTTGTGGCTTACTGTATTCTTGATGTGGGTGAATGAAATTCCGAAACTGCTAGATGTCCAAAACACTGAGTACATGTTCTCTAAAACGGAGGAATGAATTCTAGGAACAATGGAGGTTAAGAGTAGGAAGAATTTATTAAGAAAAAGATACCTTCTGTCTGAGAGGGACAGAAGGGAGCCTGGAAAGTGGGTTGCTCACCAACCCCACTTCTCAAGGGTGTTTATTGAGCAAAGTCATGAGGTGAGGTGGGCTTAACATGGGACAGAACTATAATCAATCTATAACAAGTATAGTTGCTTAAATAATATTGATCCAATGACAAATCAGAGAAGGAGTGTGAGGTGGGACAAAACTCTGGTCAACCAATAAGTACAGCAAGTATAGTCACTTAGGTAATATTGATTAAATGGGGATCAAACTGGGAAGCAAGTCCTGTAGCAAGTGCACATGGGGCAGACAAGGACTTTCCTGGTAGGGGTTGGTTAAGGAGGTTTGGTCCTCCACCCACAGTAGTGGTTGATACCTACTTGAGTATGCATCACTGCCATTCATCCCTAGGGGAAGTACCTCGGTGAGTAAGTACCCAGCTCTTCTTTTTCTTGAAGCCTGACCTCCAGCCATAGTTATATTCTGACCTCTTGAGGGGCTCCTCTCTGTCTGACTGCCTATATAATATTTTTACCCAACTCAACTGATAGATCTGGCCAACAGTGACCAGCTGCTCCCCTCCCCCACCATTGTAAAAGCCCAAACATAGGGACAAAAGGTCTGTTGCCACGTTGCAAGAACCTAACCACAAGAACAAGGAAATACTCCCTGTAATGGAGAGCCCTGCTGCCAACCAGAGAAACACGCATTACACAGAAAGTACAAAAGTTACCCACAGCTCTCAGCCCATGACTGAAACAAATCCTCCCTCACTTTAACTGTCGGTAAAACCCTGCTCAGCCCTGCTCTGGGCACCTTGCCCTAGTCCGCTGGGTAAAATGCCACTGCTGCTTCCTTTGATTAAAACCCCTTGTGTCGACCTTGCAGTGTGTGTTCTGGTTCTTGGTGTGCAGTTCAGTCGCTTTATCACTCACTACCTGTAATATTCCCCTCTCTGAATAAATACCCCTAACTGCAGTAAGGGGACAATGGGTGAAGACTGATGTGACGACTGCCAGCTGAAGAGGGTTGTAGTCTGATCAGTCAGAGATACCTCACCGAGAGTGCATCTAAGGCCCTCGATAGGCTCCAGATGTTCTTGTTTTGCTTAGATATACATCTTTAAGTTTGGAGGAGACAGGGCCACAGAAACAAGTAAGCATGGCCAAATAATAAAATCAATAGGATAATTAGGAATACAGCCAACAAAGTTTTCCACCAGGGGGAGCCAGTAATAGCTTTCTATAAAGAGGATAAGGAGAAGGTCTAGGGAATTTCAGAATCTGACATGTTGTTAATCTGTCATCTAATATCTTTTTTTTTGTTTTGTTTTGTTTTTTAAATTTTATTTAAGGAGAAAAGAAAAAAAAGCAGGGAAAGGGTACAAGTTATACAGATTTACAGAAAAAAAATGAAGTGATTTCCTACTAGTTAATGGATTACATATTGTCATCTTAGAAATAATTGTTCAAGTCACAAAATTAAAGCTTGTAAAGTGGACATTCCATCAATGATACTGCAAACAGTTCTGTTCATTGATCCAATAAAACTCTGTGATATCATTTTCTATCTTATACACTTAAATATACATGCAGTTATATAGTTTGGAGCACTTTCTTTTCCTCTCTTTTGTACCATGACTATTACACATTTTGGGTTTCATTGCTCCCACGGTTCTTATTACTTTTTTGGAAGAGAGTAAAACCAAATGTGACATAACAGAACAGAATCGGTCAAGTCAAGGGGGTGGACATAATAGATAATGTAAAAACATAATACAAGGTGATCAACAATGGTTACCATAATGCCTCCCGCTATCTCTAATAGAATTGCCTATATCGTTAGTTATAATACAATTGAACAAAATAGTAAAGAACAAAACCGACAAAACCAAAACATTGGAGACATTGTAGATCTTCAAAAGTAGATAAAAGTCAACAAGAATGGGCGCCATAATGAATCTCATTATCTTCACAGCTGATGCCTAAACTTTCGAACCTGATACTATCCAGCAAAACAGAATAGGGGAACATCAGTTAAAAACCAGATGGTGAGAGTAATACAGGGCTTTAAATCAAGGTAATGAAAAGTCAAAGCGGGTTACTATAATATATCCTGCTATTTTGTCATCTAATATCTTGAGCAGCTCTTAAAACATTAACAGAAGGATCAGGAATGTACACATAACACTCAGCTTTTATAATTGCACAAGTACCCCCTTCTGCTGCTGTTAGAATGTCTAATGCCACCTGATTTTGGAGGATGGCTTGTCTCATTAATTTTACTTTTTCATTCAGAAGAGAGACTGGCCACAGTGTCATTGAAGGCCCCCAGAGTATACTCAGTTAAGTCCTTGATATGTTGCATGACATCCTCTAATACCGGGGAAAGGATGAAGGTAGAGGCCAAATGATCCTACCAGTGAAACCCATTTCTAGACCATGTGTCTTATTTACTTTATGCTCATTGCTGAGACAAAATACCTGAAGCCCAAGTTGGGAAAAGAAAGGGTTATTTCTTACAGTTTTTGGAGGTTTCAGTCCACACTCAGTTGGCTCCAAGGCAGGCAGGCATGGCTGGGCTGCAGTTCTCATGGCGGCTGCAAACAGTAAGCCGGAACTAGCAAAGAGCAAGACACACCTTCTTCCTGCCGTTACATCACATCCTGGCTCCACCCCTATGTGGGTGTAGCACTGACACCATCAATCCGAGCACTAGACAATGAAGCATCACAAATGCACAATGCAAACTTATGAGGCCTGGGGGACACAGACATAAACCTTGATACCATGGATGCCATAAGAGGGGCAAGTTGGCAGATTTGCCAATACTTTTCACACTTTGGCCTTATAACCCTGCAAATACTAATGCATGTCTTCCTATCCATTTAGCGGGTAGCAAAGGCCATAAATTGGGCCCACAGGAGCAATGAATGCCATTGGTACTGCCCATCTAATTCTGGGGTGATTAAACCAGTTTATTGCAAAGCAGTCTTCAGCCTGTAAAGTTATTATATGTATACATTGTTCGGAAGGTGTCCATTCCAAGTGTCTAGTAGTGTTAGGCCAATGAGAATAGGAGTGATTTTTCTGTTTCCAACATAAGAGAGCCTTAACCATAGATAATCATCCCCAAATCTGAAAATAGCCATCTTGATATCTATGGTCGTTGGCCCTTAGGATGGGATGCTTACTTTTGTTGTGGAAATTTGATACCAAACCAAATGGAAGACCTTTTGTACCAAGGAGTTAGAAAACAAATGTTTTACTCATAGTGAAATAAATAAGACACATGTGCAAACATCATATTGTTTCATTAGTGTGACAAGCTGAAAGAAAAAACATGTATCTGAATATGTATATAAAAATAGTTAAGATAGTTATACTACTGATTTCTCTGGACTCACCAAAGAGAAAGATTTGTGCTGATATTGTTCAGATATTGAATGCAGATGTCTTGGGCTCTGGGTGAATGATTTGGGGATGATAATGTGCGATTTATACGCCATTGTTGCCTCTGTTTGGCATGCTTTGAAATTTTGTTATAGTATTTCTTCTTCTTGTTTTTCTTTCTTTTTATCTTCAAATATAATGGATTTAAAAAATTTTTTTGGAAAAGAAGAAAGAAAATGTTTATTATGCTAGCAGGCTGGAGGGACCAAGTCCCAACCACCAGTCCCAACTGAGAGTGAAACAGAAACTTATATATGTTTGGTAAGCAGGGATACAAAAGCTGATAGCAGGTCATCATATAATTGGTACATGAATCAAGTCACATACTGTCAGGCAGGTTTGCTCCAGGCAGGTTAGTCAAGGGGTTGCTTATCATAAGGTGGGAGCAAATAGGGAGGGAACTAGGGCTGAAGAGGTGGTTGAAACTGAACATGCCCTTGACTAGCTTATCTCAATTGGACAGTACTTGCAAATAGAATATGTTTATATGTGAGAACTGAGTTAGGTTGGACCATCTCTAAGTTGCAGTTGATGTGGTGAGCCAAAGCTAATGGTCCAACTATGTGATGGGCCGGGTGAGTACATCTGGTTTTAACAGAGCATCAGACTTTCATTTTTAAATTTTCTGTCACATTTTTGTTTAATAGGGGTCTTACCCGAGCCTTAAGGAAGCTTCAGTGGCATTGTTGGAAAAGATTCTACTATGTCCAGGATTGTTAAGAGTATAGTTTAGGTCCAAGAGTATAGCTCAGCAGCACAGTGCCTGCCTGGCAATCGCAAGGTTGTAAGATAATTCCTGGTACAAAAAAAAAAAAAAAAGTATAGTTTATAGGCCATCCAGGAATTGCATTTCCCCTTAAGTGGTAGTGATTAGTAAAAGGGCTAAGAGTAACATCTTAGATTACTTATCTGAAGACTGTTTTTTTCTTGAAGAAGAACCTTAAGTCTTCCATGGGTTCGCAGAAGTATTCAGATGAATACACTCAGTGATAGTCTCTGGTTCCTGGGACTGGAATTGAATGTGTTGCATGTTTCCAGGAGTCCAGGCGAGCTGAAGAAGTTGACAGGATCACGGTGTATGGTCCTTCCCAAGTTGGTCCTCTGCAGTCCATTTTGGCTTTAGATGGTAGACAGGCCACACAAGTACGCAGAAAAGGAATCAAATGGTTCTCTTTAACATTTTCCAGGATCAAACATCTTCCAGTGCTTAAGAATGCATTCTAAAGGGGTAAGAGATTTTGACATTGAGCCACCTATCCCCCTCCAAATGACATAGTGGGATGAAATTCCCCACCTGCTAGAGTTCAGATTGCTGAGTTCATGTTTTTTAAAATTGAGGAATGAATTCTAGGAACAATGGAGGTTAAAAGTAGACAGAATTTATTGAGTGAAAGACAGTTTCTGTCTGAGAGGGTCAGAAAGGGGCCTAGAAAATGGGTTACCCCATCTCTCTTTTCTTGAGACAGTCTTGTTATTTAGCCTTGAAATTGTGAGGACCTTCTTATCTCTGACCTCTGAGTACTGGGATTACAGGTATGTGCCACCATGCCTCGCTTACACATTTCTCTTTAGATCCTACTTTCTGGGGGCATAGGTCATGTCACACTGGCTTTTTTAACTTGGTACTTGTACCCCCATATTGTAGGTGCATAGTAGTGGGCAGTAAGTGAATGGGTTGGTGGAAACTACTACGTTGTTTAACTGAAAAGACAATTCATGTGAAAGCTTTCAGAAGTCAAACAACATGGAATAGTTCTTAGAAAACTTATTTTTTTCTCTTGGGCTAGATGTGTTCACATCATGAAAATTTTCTTAAATTGAAAGCACAAAATGATACATGATTAACGGACAGAATATCCAGAGGCAGCAGCAAGTGAGCCAAGTCTGGTGACAGTAGCCATATTGTTAGCGTGCTCAGAGAGCAAGCATATAACATGGTGGATTCTAACACATACAAACCTGAGAAGCTGACAAGAACAACTTGATACTACTTAGGGGCATAAATACAGGATGGGGGCAACAGAAGGAACAAAAATATATCCTTTTTCTGGTGGAAATTGAGATACGTTCTGCCACTATAAGAAATGAGAAAAATAGAAAAGTGAGCTTGTGGCCAAGATTAGTTTGGACTTGACTATATTTTTGAACTTTTTTTTTGTTTTTTTGAGACAGGGTTTCAGTATGCTGTTCAAGTTGGCCTTGAACTCACAGCAATCCTATGTGAGCCTCCCGAGTGCTGAGATTATAGGTATGCACCACTACGCCAGGGGTTACTGTTGAATTTCTAGGTCCATAATTGTTAAATGGGAGTTGTATTTGTTCTTTCTGAGGAAATGGATAACAGCATTTTATAAACTGGAAAGGTTTAGAAATCTGTAATGTATTAAAGGTCATGTTTATTATTATTCTAATTATATTTAAATATATTCTTTGAGGAGTTAAAGTAAATATCTGGTGATATTTGGGACTCAGAGGGAGGAACTAACTGAGGAGACAGGGTGGGAGAGAGGCAGAGGGGCAACAAATCTGTAAATGATGGGGAAGAAAATGCGTTTTAGAGGCCGGGATTTAGCTCAGTGTGGTAGGTGCCTGCTTGCCAAGTTCGAGGTCCTGAGTTCAATCCCTGGTAAAAACAGGGAAAATGGGTTTTAGCACAGGAATCAAAGCAGCAGGCTGAACTCCAAGAGATGACTGGAAAGTGCAGTCTGTTCGTCAGCAGACATAATAATGTCACCTGGACATAATACTTGAAACCCACAAGTTCAAAGAGGAGAAGTTTAATTTGCCTCACGGTTTCAGGAGATTCAGTCCAGGGGTGGCTGGCAGCAAGGTGGGAATGTTATGGTGGAAAAGCAGAGCATAGCAAAGCAGCTTAGTTCATGGCAGCTAAAAGCAGATCAGGGGAACAGTGCCAGAAAGGGAGGGGCCAAGGACTACATACAACCCAATGGCGCATCTCCATTGTGTACCCAGACACACCCAGAAGTGTGCTGTGCTAGTCCCCTAGGCGATTTTTTTTTTTTTTTTTTTTTTTTTTTTGGTACCAGTGATACTTGCCAGGCAGGCACTTGTGCTGCTGAGCTGAATCCCCAGCCCTGGGTGATTCTTAATCCAGTCAAGTTGACATATCATGACTAACAGTTACATGTAGTATGGAAGAAACCAAATATGGGAGAATTTCTAGAAGCTGGAAATGTTCAGGAGTGTTGAATGATTTGGAGAGGTTGAGTAACAAGATCAGTGACTAAACTTCATTGAATTTGACTTGAATTTGCTAAGTTTCAATAAATGGTTTGAGAAGTGGATAGAGAAAGGACCTAGAGTCTGTGTGGTGTTGGAGGGGTGCGTGGGACCGTGTCAAGGTACCTGGGAATACAGCAGTGGCTGTAGATACCATGTAAGCACCACACCAGCCAGCACTTAACAGCAAAAGGAAACTAATTTTGTAAGAAATTTTCTACTCTTGAACCAGGCGTGGTGGTGTATGGCTGTAATCCCAGCACTCAGGAGGCTGAGACAGGAGGATTGTTGCAAATTTGAGGCCATCCTGGGCTACAAAGTGAGCTCAAGGCCAGCCTAAACTGTGTAGGGAGATCTTGTCTCTAAAGACCCAAAAAACAAAACAAAAACAAAAAGCTTTTTCTACTCTTATTCCAAACAAGATGTGAACCAAGAAAAGGTAGAGGAGAAAGGCTTCAACTGGAGCAGAGAGATTGACAGAATATTTGGAGGACCCAGGAAGTGGGGGTAGAGAGAGAAGACCTGTGCCAGTAGGTGACATCCAACATCCAAAAGGAGAGAGGAGCCTTACAGGTTGTTTGGTAATTTTCTTGGAGACACAGAAAAACAAACAAACAAACAAACAAAAAACACACGCCACTGAATTGAAGGGGCACAGGCAGGACAAAGAAAGACTCAGAGAAGTTCATCCTGGCAAGCAAATGATTTATTAAGGGTTACTTACACTATCAAATTCGCTAACTTTCCTTTCCTAAGCTACTAGTTTTTCCCCTACTGGTTTTATAGGACTCTAATTAAAACACTAAAAGTAGGATAATCAAAAACATGAGTCCTGCTGGGCGTTATAGCTCATGCCTGTAATCCCAGGATTACAGTAAATTTGAGGCCAGACTGAGTTCAAGGTCAGCCTCAACTGCATAGTGAGACCCTGTCTCAGGAAAGCTCAAACAAACTAAAACAAAACAAAATGAGTCCTTCAACAAGCTTATGAGTACTCTGTTGCTATCCCATCCTTATCGGGAACGCTGCAAGTCCCCGCAAGCAGTGTCAAGCTGCTGGGATGGGTAACCTTGTGCTGTAGCACCTGGCGAGCCTCCCTCTTACCCGACAGCTAAATAGCAGCCCATAGTAGATGGAGTCACTGGCTAGTGTTCTAGGATAATTTTCCCTACACATACCAGAGAGGACGCTTTTGAGGCTGGGAGGAAACATGGGGTGCAAGAGGCATGGTTTTAAGAAGAAGGCTTGTAAAGAAGGCACTGAGAGCTCTCAGTGCTTTGGTGGAGCAGGCTCTATGAAAAGCAGCAGCTCTGAAATGGTTTGGGAACAAAATGCTACATAGTTAGCAAATGTTTCTTGTGGTATAAACATGCTACATAGTTGGCAAATGTTTCTCCTGGTATAAAAATCATACACAAATTGGCAAATGTTCATTTGTCATGCCCATGAAAGTAAAATCTGTTACTTTTCTCACCGATGTGAAAACAAATGGTAACCAGTTCCTTAACAAGTGCAGACTGAATTAAGCTGTATTTATTTGATGTAAGTCAGGCACTGACCTTATTTGTGATACAGCTATGTGGTTTTCTGTGTATGTTTCATTTATAAAGGTGCTACAGTTTTTACTCTGTTTTTTCCATATCCAACTTGGACCTAATTGTGCCACTAGTTTCTACCCAGAGCTTCAGTGTCCAGAGGCTGGAAGCCCTGGACTGACCAGCTCTCCTCCCCACCAATCCCCCTCTGGACAACAGAGCCTCAGGATGGGTTGTCTACATTGGCCTCTTGTTGCTTCCAGCACCTGTGTCATCCCAGACACGTGGATTGAGATTTGCATAAATTACTTTTTACTAACAAGTCTCAAAAGATGAGTTGAGGAGTCAAGGTCCTGGCTTGCTGATTGGACTGCAATAAGTCTTCATCCCTCAGCCCTGGACACCAAACATTAGGCTTTCATATGCAGATGCCATGCTCTAGTGCTTGGAATATCTGTTCCCTCTCCTCCAAGTTGCATTCATTCTTTCATTCTGGCTTTTTTTTTTTCCCCAGTACTCAGCTCAAGCACGCAGAAGACTTTTACAATGAAGGTGTGACTGTCTCTGGGCTATATTTATACATAACATAAAAATAAGATATACCATACTTCAAGGCCAGGTGCTTGCGCCGCTAAGCTAAATCCCCAGCCCGCCTTGCCTTCTTTCATACTGGGGACCAAACTCTCACACACGCTAGCCAAGACTCTACTCCTTTGCTACACCCTCCATACTTTTACAGAGTTTTATTTTGAGACATGGTCTTGCTAATTACCCAAGAATTTGTATTCCTTTGGCCTCAGCCACCAGAATACCTGGGGTTACAAAATAGCTGGGATTATAAACCTGCCTCACACAGCTCCTGGCTAAATGAATAAAGGTTTATTGATTTATTGACTTTTTTCTCTTTCTTTCTTTCTTTCTTTTTTTTGGCAGGGTCTTTCTGTAGTTCAAGATAGGTCTTGAATTCACTGTGTAGCCCAAACTGGGTTTGAACTCATGGTATCCTCCTGCTTTAGCCTCCCTGTTGCTGGAATTACAGGCTTGCACCACCACATCCAGCTATCAATAAGGTTTTATCAGCCAAGAAAGTTTCAGTGTTTAGGGAACTGGTTATTTGACCTAGAAAGCTTCTTTTTGGTACCAAGGATTGAACTCACGACCTAGTGCTTGCCAGGCAGGCACTTATGCCGCTGAGTTTAAATCCCTGGCCCTAAAGTTTTAACACAAGTAACAGGCCATTTCATACATGATAACGGCACATGAAATCCCTGATTGAGTGGGATGCCACGGGTGTGTGTTCCAGTAGTAATAAGGACCCTTAAGAGTCCTGTGTCTATGAACTGTGACCACCCCACCCCACGTACTGATTTCAAGCTGCTTATCATCTGCTTTTCTTGGCGGTGACCTACAAGTCCATCCGTCTAGCCACTAAAAATGGGCAGATATTCATGATTCATGGTGTCTAGGTGCTGTGATGCCTGAAATAAAGCTGGTTTTTCTGTTTGGTTGAGACAGGGTCTCGCTATGTAGTTAAGGCTGGCCTTGAACTCCCAGCGATAGTTCTACCTCAGCCTCTTGAGTGCTGGAGTTACAAGTGCGAGCCACCTTGCCTGGTGGAAACTGGTAAATGCTGCTTTGTATGTGTGTTCTTTTCTTTCACGGGCGTGCACGGGTGGGGCAGGCAGAAAGATAATGTATGCATCATTTCTATACAGACGCCTCTGCAGACCTTGGGTGCAAGGCGTTAGCCTCCCCAGCGTCTCTGATCGTCTCATTCTTCTGCTTTGCACAGACCACAGCTGTACTAACCGTCTCCCTCCCTAGGCTGTAGGCTGCACGAGGTTAGGAACCCAAAGCGCTCGCGCTCAGCCCTGTATTCCTCCCGCCAGAGGAACATCTCAGAGGCATAACGGGTGTCCACAAGTTATTTCCTGCATCAGAACCCGGGAGCCCTCGCGGGGACGACCGCCCTGTCCACCGCGGCCGGCCGGGCCCGGGTGGGACGGGTCGCGCGCAGCCGCGGTCTCGCGGGGACTGCTCGGGGCGGAGGCGGGGCGCGGCCCGGGAGCGAGGCGGGGGCGCGGCCAATGGGCTGCGGCGGGCGGGGCCGGCGGCTCCGCGGGAGCGCGCAGGGCTGGGCGTGCCGCGGTGACGCGCGGGGCCGGGCGGGCCAATGGGCGCGGGGTGGCGGGCGGTCCCGGCGCCCGGCTGAGGGCGCGGGCGGGCGGCCGGACAGACGGACGTGAGGCTGCATCGCGGGAGGCGCATGGCGGGGATGGCGCTGGCGCGGGCCTGGAAGCGGATGTCCTGGTTCTACTACCAGTACCTGCTGGTCACGGCGCTCTACATGCTGGAGCCCTGGGAGCGGACGGTCTTCAGTATCCTGCGGCCGGCCGGGCGCGGGCCCAGCGAGGATCGCGGTCGGAGCGCAGGGCAGGAAGCGGCGAGGCGGGGGCTCGCGAGGGCGCGGCCCGGGTCCTCGCCGTGCCGGCGGAGGAGGCGCCCGGGGGCCCTCGGGGGAGGCAGGGACCGTGTCCGGATCGCTCGCGGCGTGGACGCCTTGACCTTTAGCTGTCCCAGACTTACCTGGCTGGGCTCCAAACGGGAACCGGGGGCAGCTCGCCAGCTTTGCAGCGAGGTTGTGGATCTGTGGGCGTTGACGTCCCAGTACGGTTTTTGGAAAACAGTTTAAGTTCCTGCACCATTTATTTATTTGTTTATTGTGTGGTCTTCAAGATGGCAGTTTTAAAAGTGTGTTTGAGTCATGACTTCTTTGCACTGGAGGTAGAAGCCGTGCCCGAGGAGGCATTCGTGGTCAGATGTCCGTGGGCTTGGAAACGGTGCCTTGGTGGACGCGTGGGGAAGGCTTGTTAAGGACTCTTGAGTGATTACTGGTAAGCAGCTGTGCTGAGCGCTTGGGGCTCCTCTTAGGCGCCTCTGATTTTCACAGCTATCTCAGTGAATAACTCAGGGCTCTGAAGAGAGGCTTCCTGAGGTCTGTCTTGTTTGTCATCTCCAGTGGTAGATGAGGACATCCTTGAGTGGTGTTATTCTCGCATGATAAAGGAAAGAATGAGATGTGACTTTGTTTTTTAAAACTCGAGCTGTAGGAATCTTACATGTTTGGTGGTAAATGTAGGATGTCTGCTTATCATAGTGGTTTATATGGAGTAGCTTACTTCAGATCCACTTTGCAAATGCATGGCTGCATTCCTGTAAGGGAGTGAAGCAATTTCCTCCCAAGCCTTATCAAGTGTGTTGTTGTAAATTAATATCCTACCCAAAGTTGATCTTGTATTTCTGTACTTCTGAAGACTTTTAGCTGCTTACAGGGTAGTTTATTGACATTTCTTTCCAAATCTGGAAGTTAAGAAGTAGAAAACATGTTTTGGGTTTAGACTCTGACTGTAAAAGTTTGCTCTGCTTTCCTCCATCTGTTTGGTTTGTGTCTAGGTTTTGTAAGTCAGGGCTCATGACGTCATGCCTTGCAAAATGTACTCCTAATTGCATTTTTAATTGGAATTTCTCAATAGAAGCAGGCATTTTGACTCACTTAGAATCATCTTACAGTTAAATGAAACAACGTTGGGATAAATTGAAACTTTTTAAATCAGAAGTTAAAAAAATCAGAAGTCAAATGTAGAGCCCAATTATGATTTTACAGTGGTGTGACTTTTACACCTAAAATTTTTTTTTTTTTTAATTTGTACTGGGGATTGAACTCACGCCCGCACTCTTGCAAGTTAGGTGCTTATGCTGCTGAGCTAAATCCCCAGTCCTTATATCCCTAAAACTTTTTGTGTGCATATGGATAAAGGGTACAGTGTCAGTGGTGTCAAGATAGTAGTAGTAAGGGTGTCCTATAAATACCTAGGGTTTATTGGAGATGGAGAAATAAATTTGAGGTGAAACGTTCTGCTGTTGTGGATATTTGCCGAGGATATTTTAACTCATCATTGGTTTATGTGACCAAGGGATTTGTTTGAAATAGTCTGGGATGGTCTTACTAGTCTGGGATGGTCTTGCTTATGTAGTCCACACTGGCCTTGAACTTGCAGTACCTGTTTTATTTTAGATCCCCCTGCCCCCTCATCACTGGATTACAGGTGTGTGCCATCATGTCTGGCATGTGACCAGATGATTTAAGCATTTTGTTTTTGTTTTTAGTTTTGGTTCTTGAGATTGAACCTGGGCTTCACACTGAATATAGTTCAGTGTCTTTTGTTTTGTGTTCGAGGCAGGTCTCACTGTATAGTTCAGACTGGACTTGAACTCACTGTGTAACCAAGGCTGGCCTCAAACTCCCAAACTCCAGCAGTCTTCCTGCCTCAGCCTCCCAAGTGCTGAGATCAGTCGTGCCACCACACTGGGCTTATTTTTTATTTTGAAACAAGGTCTTGTTAAATTGCTCAATCTGGCCTCAATTTTGTGATCCTCCAACCTCAATGTGCTACCATATCAGGCTAAAGTTTTTTTTTTTTTTTGGTACCAGGAATTGAGTTCAGTACCTTGAGCTTGCCAGACAGGCGCTGTGCCACTGAGCTACATACTCCATCCAAAGTTTTTTATTTTATTTATTTTTTAAAAAAATTAGAACTTCAGCCAGCTGGCATTTGGTTCAGTAGAATTTTAGGGTTTTAAACCTAAAATTGAAAAAAAGAAATTTGTTTCAGAGTTCACATTGTTGATTTAATTCAGGGTAGAAATGCAAGCCTGTGATGTAAACCAATCTTAAATTACTATCAGTTGTATTTACAGTACTCTACCTCAACTTCTGGAAGCATTATATTGGGCATTTCATTGTCTTGCAACCTGGAACATCAGTTTGGGATTGAATCCTCTTCCTACCTTGGAGGAAAGAACTAAGTGAAAAAGCTGGAATGGTCTCCTTTATTGTGAAGTAGAATTTCATAAATTCATTAATAATTAGTAAGTTTCACCCAGAACTATTTTGTGGCCAGTTACATAGTTTTGGAAAGAGACACACTTTTTTATTTTTATTTTTTGACATTGGGGGTTAAACTCACAACCTTCCATTTGCCAAGCAGGCACTTTTGCTGCTGAGCTAAATCCCCAGCCCCGAGGCACACTTTCTGTGGCTTAAAAAATTACACTAGGGACTGGGACTGCAGCTGAGGAAGGGGGCTCTTAAGAGATTTTGGATTTGGGTTTAATTCCTGGCACCAAAAACAAAACAAATTGCATAGAATGTGATATGACTGCCAGAAGCCTAAAATGTAGTGCTTTTTTCCCCCCAGTTTTTTGACAAAGTCTTACTAGTCTGGGATGGTCTTAAAGTTACAGCAATACTCCTGCCTCAGCCTCCTGAGTACTGAGATTACACAGGTGTTTGCCATCACTCTTGGCTAGAAACCTAATTTTTTTTTTTTTTATTGTACCAGGGATCAAACTCATGACCATATGCTTGCCAGGCAGGTACTTGTGCTGCTGAGCTTTAACCACCAGCTAGAGACCTAAAGTTTAATGTGAGAGAACTTTGCCTCTCTCCTTGTGAAAACTAGTTTGTGAGTTTGAAGTCCTGGACAGAGGAAGACTAGCTTAATCTTTAATTCCTTAAAGGAAGTAAATACGTTAGTTTACATTTCCTCTCCTTAATGTCTTTAAAAATTTGAAGTTGCTCTTTTAGGGACAGTAACAGTTTACTGTAACTATATAACTTCACACTCTTTAGGGACTATCTTGAGTGTCTGCATGCATGTTTCAAAGTTATTTGCTTTTCTCCATCCCAAATCAAATAGCTGGAAGTTAGTTAAAATTGTAAATTGAAAGTCAGTCCTAGTTGAATGTGTTTTTAAACTTATGTGAAGAGATTGTGGTTTATAAAAAAAATTTTAAGGGAAACTATTGTGTCAGATACTGAAGACAGTTACTGAAGCATTAAGATTTATAAGTGATATTTATTGATTTATTTATTGACAGGCAGTTATAATAGTTCAGTAGCTATGTAGTTCAGGCTTCCTCTAAGCTATGTAGCCTGGACTGACCGCAAACTCATGGCAGTTTGCTTGCCTTGGCCTCCCAAGAGCTGGGGCTATGGGCTTGCACCAGCTTGTTGGGCTTCGGAGTTTTAAAAATCCTTCTATGCTAGGGACTGTATTTTTTCTTTTGGGTACTGGGGATCAAACTTACAACATGATGCTTGCTAGGCAGGTGCTTATGCCACTGAGCTAAACCCCCAGCCCTATGGACTGTCTTAAATTTTTTCTTGTCTGAATTCTCCCACAACATTTGAAATGATACATTAGATAATGGTTTGACAACCGATATTTGAACTTTTCCCATATATAGATATCTTACAATGAAGTGGGACCTGACCCTTGCATTGAGACAGAGGTAATAATGAAAAGCCTTTTAAGTACAATATTAACTCCTATTCCAGTGACTACTGTTGAAGGAATCTTCCCACAGATTGAGAACCATGGACCTCACCTCAGGAGGGAAGGCTTTTAACTTTTATAATCTTTAACTATGTTTCAGACAAAGTAGGAAAGGAAAAAAGGTTTTGTAACCAAGACAGATTTTGTAACCAGTGAGACACTCCTTGTGTGTGTGTGTGTGTGTGTGTGTGTGTGTGTGTGTATATATATATATATGTGTGTGTAGTGTCATTGAGCAACATTGTAGTCATTGAGGGCAGGTGGACTGATTGAAAAGTTACAATAATTTTTTTTTTTTTGGTACCAGGGATCGAACTCATGGCGCTTAAGCTGCTGAGCTAAACCCGGGGCCCCAGTTATAATAATTTGAATTGTAAATATGTTATTGTAATCTCATTGTATTCATTACAAATACAGTTAGATTAATTTGCAGATTCTAGTTTAAACTTCCTGGTCTGCTTGTTTGCATGGCTTTTTCTCCCTTTTCCCTGCCTCTTTTCCTCCTTCCCTCTCTCTTTTCTGTTCTTTCCATTCCTCCCTCCCCTCCTCCCTTCCCTTTTGTCTATCTTCCTGAGTCTTTCTCTCTGTCTCTTTCACTCTCTGTGTGTCTGTCTGTCTCTCTTTGCCTGTCTGTCTCTGTTTCAGTTTCTGTCTCTCTGTCTCTCTCTCTCTCTCTCCCTCCCTCCCTCCCTCCCTCCCTTCCTCCCTCCCTCCCTCCCTGCTGGAGATCCAACCTAGGGCTTCATTCACACTAGGCAAGTGCTTAACCAGCCCCAGCCCCAGCCCCAGATTTTTTTCTTGTGGTTTTTCCTTAAATGATACAGTAGAACACCTAATTACATAATGGTTACATTTATTAGTATTATAAGTAATCTGGAGATGGTTTAAAGTGGATGGGAGAATGTATGTAGGTTATATTATGCCTTCCCCCCCTTCTTGTTGCTCATTAATTTTTATTTATTTATTTTGGTACTGTGAAT